CCCAGTCCTGAGCAGCAGGTGCAATTTATGTGGGAATGGTGCCTGGGAACAGAGTGGATGTCCTTCTGAGGAAGCTTTAGTGTCATCTTGACACAGCCTAGAATCATCTGAGGAGAGAGTCTCCAATGAGGGATTACACAGAGCATGCCTATGAACACATCTGTGGGAGATAATCTTGTTTATTGACGTAGAAGGGGGCTATTCCCTGGACAGGTGGCTCTGGTTATTTAAGAGAGCTAGCTACCCAATCAACAAGAGGGAAATCATGCCCGGGACTGGAAACCAAGTCAAATACCCAGGGCTAATGAAGTCCAAGCCAGCATAATTCTTAAATACACTCCAAATGTTTATCCTTATATCCACAGATAAGTCTAGTTCTCATCCCTCATCAAGAAAACTTTTTTGCAACAGGCAGAGACAATAACAGAAAACTGGTAAAGATGCAGAGTCGTGCAGCCCAGTCCCTGCTGATGCATCTGCAACACACTCCTCCATCTAAGGCTCAGGGATGAGTGCGGAAGAGTGGGTGAAAAGACTGTAAGACAGAGGAACAGGAGTTTGCTGTGAGATTGTCTCTGCTACACCCAAGAAGTCTCACATTGCTGCTGAAGCACAAGCTGAACAAGGACAAAACCAATGGTGGTACTAAAGTGGCCCCAGTCATACACAAAGAACTATAGGCAACTAAGGAACGAAGAGTGGGGAAAACAGTCTTCCCCAGGGAAAAAGCACACCAATAGGTCATCCAATACCAATGGTCAGCCCTGAAAGCTTATAGACAAGTAGTATTATATGAAGTGAGCAGGTTGTATTTACATATTTAGGGGTAGGTAGGTAGGTAGGTAGGTGGGTAGGTAGATAGATAGACGAATGGATGGATAGATAGATAGATGGCAAACGTGTGTGTGTGTGTGTGTGTGTGTGTGTGTAACAACAATTACAGAAAAGGAGACCATGAATTTGAATGAGAGCCAGAAGGTACATGGGAGGTGTGAGAGAGAGAGGAAAGGGAAGAGGAAATGATGTAACTATAATACAATCAAAATAAATAAATAAAGCTAGCTAAGCATGAGCAGGCTATGTTCCTCTATGCTTTCTGCTCAGGTTCCTGCTTGAGTTCCTGGTCTGACTTCCCTCAGTGTTGGACTGTGACCTGGACGTATAAGCCGAATGATTCCTTTCCCTAAGTTGCTCCTGGTAGGAGCATTTTCTCACGGCAATAGAAAGGAAACAGGAACGTGTAAGCATCCATCTTCACCTGTCTGAAGCTCCCTGAAGAGCCAGTCTCAGCTTTTCCAAATTGCTAAATGCAGGGCGGGGATCAGTCAGGCTTCTAAGCATGAATGGCCCATCCTTGCTGCCCGGGGTAGAGAAGAAGCTGGGAACCAAAGACTTCGAGAAATTGGGGCTTTGAAACAGTCCTGGGAGTCTAGAAGGCATGACCGCAGGGGCACATGCTGACAACGCTGCTGGTAGCTGAGCTTTGAGCAAACAGGAAGTAAAGGTGCAACAGGAAGGGGAGAAGGGCGGAAACTGTCAGCTGGGAGCTGAGCCCCATGGGTAAGCACACAACAGCTGCAATGCTTAGGGGGAAATAATTTTGTGACCATGACAAAATTCCCGAGATCACAACATAAGGAGGAAGAGATTGTTTGGGCTCACAGTTTCGTGGTGGAAATGCACAACATGGTGATGCTCACCTTACTGAGACGGGAGGAAGGACACAGGGCCAGGGTCCCTTCTCAGGCAAAACCTCAGTGATTTATGTTCCTACTACTAAGTCCATCCCCTAAAGGGTTCTTTCTCATCCTCGTAGTGCCACAAGTCGGGGACTAAGTCTTACCTTTTAAGTCTTTGGGGGTCATTTAAAATCCAAACCACAGTACCAGACATTGAAGGAACTTGGTCAAAACGCTGCCCAAGCACTAACTTAATGGAATACTTCTGATACATAGTACATGTGATGAGGTTACTTCAGAAAAACTGTAAGGCAAAAATAACAAGTATATGCTGGAAATGTCAACAGGGGGTGGAAAGAGACCCAGAAATCCAGAACCAGCCCTTAGTTTGAAGCTCCTGCCTGTTTATATTCAAATACCTCACCTCGCCCCATCTCTTTGTCTCTCCTAGGATCCAAACCACCCTCCCAACCCTGTCTCTTTGCTTGTTGCTCCATTTCCTCGACTTCAGCCCTCCCCACCCCCATATTCAGTCATCACGCCTACTCATCAGCTTCTTCCCTTTGCTAACCTTCTCTTTGACTTGGTCTGATATGCTGTTCATCTATTCTACCACAGACTGAAAGTTCAGGTTTTCATTCCCAGGATTTGGTTCTTATTTGTGGACTGCCAGTTGCCACTGGGAAAAAAAAAATCTCCATCTTTCTCCCAATTTTCCTGAAAGATATGTCACGCTTCGTTTGATCTGAAGAGAAACGAGTGTCACCATGGTTACCCTTTTGATTTTGAAGTGTTTCTCCACAGTCACCCTCTTTGTTTTTGTAGCACTGGGGACCAAACCCAGGGCTTTGTACATCCTAAACAGTCAGCCACCAAGCTTCGCCCCCAGCCCTTATCTATTGCCTTAAGTCCAAGTGTGACTGTTTCGATGTCTAACTTTCTTGTCTGTTCTTCTCTTGACTCTTGGTCAACTGGTCTTGTCTTCTAAAATGCCTGGTAAGACTTGACCAATGGCAAGAATTCACTGTGAAAAAAACCAAAATCTAAGATCCCTTGAGTCCCTGGTGCTGCAGTCTGGCTCAGAAGTGATGGCCGTGTATAGCATGAGTTCTAATTGGCCTTAATAATAAAAACCCAGAGTCGGATATTAGGGGGTGAAAGTTGAAAGCAGAGCAGCCAGCGGCTAGACGTCTCACCTCTACAAAATCCTCAGACCGAAAGGAGGTCGTGCTCCTGTCTCCTCCCACCTTATATTCCTCTCTCTGCCCAGCCATACCACTTCCTGTCTATACAGACCTCCAGATCTCTATGGTTAACTAGTGGCTAACTCTGCCCTCTGATCTTCAGGCAAGCTTTATTTGTTAGATTACAATCAAGATAGTACCACAACCGTGTCTCTGACAAACAGTGTGGACATCTTACCATGTGCAGCTGAGCTGAGGTGCAGGCAAGGCTATCAGGTTCTCGCATTGCCTTTCTTGGGGGAGGTTCCTGCACTCATGGTCAGCTTTTACTTGTGAAAGCCCATTGCCTCCCAGACCCTCCACCTCAGCAGGCCCTGGACTCTGGGCTTTGCCCTCTGGTTCACAGACCACTAAAGGCTTTGGTCGACTTCCGGGTCGCTTCCCAGTGAGCTGTAACTCTGTCCCTGCCTCAAGAGAAAAATCCACAGTAACACAGGCCCCATCCAGGGCTCTTCCCGTGACAGGAATTTGGTCCCTCAAGTCTCAGCTATCTCTGGACCTCCTGGTGCCTTCAAACAGAAACTTACTTGTTGAGCCAGCTTCTCCACTTTCCCCGCCCCACCAGCTTGTAAGGGTACACACACACACACACACACACACACACACACGGTCAAGCATGGTCAGCAGAAAGAGTCATACAGAATCAGAGCCAATTGTCACAACATCTCCAAATCCACCCACTTTGCAGCAATTTCTCTGAAAAGAAAATGTTTCCATACTTTCAGGGACTTTCTACTGAGAGGTGACTGTGCTAGGTCTTTGGAGACTGAGCAGTGAAGGAGACAAACTAGATCCAGCCTGTGGGGACACAGTGTGCTGTGGAAGGACAGGACAGGACAGGAAGCCGGGCACGGGTGGAGTTGGTTACCAAACCACCTCACACAGCTCTGACCCTCAAGCATAGAGTGAGCTCCACAGCTCTAAACAGAGCGACACACAATCTTCCATCCACCTGGACCCATCATGCCCCTGCCACTCCCATCCCCAGGCCTGCCACATATAAACTTAGCGACAGGGTGTGGAGGTCATGTATCTGTCTCCTACTCTGAGGCAGGAGCTTCTCCGGGGATGGGACCACAAGAGGCTGGGGCTGTGCGAGGTTGATGGAACACTCTGAAAGCACTGGTTACTTCTTTCAGCCTGGGTTGCTGGGTGTGGAAGCGCAGGTGGCCATACATGTCAGTATCTTACTTTAGCAGCCCCCTGGAGGAAGGACTAGCCACAGACACTGATGTTATTTTGAGGCTAATTATGCATCAGAAGTTCCAAATGGTTCCTCTTAAGAGCTGGGATACGTGTCTAATAAAGAAGTAGGCAGTAAAGACTTTTATATAAAATACATAAAAAAATGTGTCAACAGCACAGATTATGGAGGTGAGAGACTAATCCATAGGGAGGGAGAGGAAGGCTGGCCAGGAGAAGCAGGGCAGAGAAACAGAGAATCGGGGAGGAGGCAGGCAAGACATGAGGGAATCCTCTCACATGGTGCCATCATGGCTCAGAACTTGGAAACCAGCCAGAAGTTGCAAAGCTGCCTAAGCAGGAAAATGAGCCCACTTTTCTGCAACCCCAGGCACAGGGCAGGGTGGACATAGGCCCGGGGCAGTGGACAGTGTCACAAGACAATACAAAGAGGTGTAGGAGCTGAGGAGACATCCGAGGAGTGGTTGTCATAGGCCAGTCACTGCGCGCCTCTGGTCTGGGCACTGTCATGAAGTGACAGCTGTTCTGGGCTATGGGAGGAGAACTGGGTTGAGCACATCTATTTCTTGAGAAGGGATGCCGGATGACATCTCTGCAGCCATAGGGAGGCTGGGACAAGTCCCACCAATGACATCTCAACCTCACTGCTCACAGAGCCTCCCCTAACTGCTCCCAGCACCACCCACTGGCAGGAGACAGACAGACCTGACCACATCCCACACAAACAAACACCCTGATGATAACCACGAGCCACACCAACCAGGAAGGGAGGCAAAGTCTGACAACAGCACAGGGGTATAAAAGCTCACAACCCAGCACCTTACATACACACACTCACACTCACAAACTCACTCACTCACACCTCATCTCCTCCATGGCCGCCTCCACCATGTCCGTCTGCTCTGACGCTTGTACCAACTCCTCCTGGCAGGTGGATGACTGCCCAGAGAGCTGCTGTGCCCCCAGCTGCTGTGCCCCCAGCTGCTGTGCCCCCAGCTGCTGTGCCCCCAGCTGCTGTGCCCCCAGCTGCTGCCAGTCCAGCTGCTGTGCCCCCAGCTGCTGTGCCCCCAGCTGCTGTGCCCCCAGCTGCTGTGTCCCCAGCTGCTGTGCCCCATCCCCCTGCCTGACCCTCATCTGCACCCCAGTGAGCTGTGGGTCCAGCCCCTGCTGCCAGTCTTCCTGCGCACCCTCATGCTGCCAGTCAGCTTGCTGCACCTGCTCCCCATGCCAGCCATCATGTGTGACTCTTTGTTGCAAGCCCATCTGCTGTACCCCCATCTGCTCTGGCTCATCATGCTGCCAGCAGTCTAGCTGCCAGCCCTCATGCTGCACCTCCTCACCTTGTTGTGTGACCCTGTGTTGCAAGCCTGTCTGCTGTACACCCATCTGCTCTGGATCCTCCTGCTGCCAGCAGTCTAGCTGCCAGCCCTCATGCTGCCAATCCTCCTGCTGTGTGCCTGTCTGCTGCAAGCCTGTCTGCTGCAAGCCCTGCTCCAGCGTGTCCCTGCTCTGCCGCCCTGTGTGCAGGCCTGCCTGCTGTGTGCCCAGCTCCTCCTGCTGTGCCTCCTCCTGCCAGCCCAGCTGCTGCAAGCCCTGCTCCAGTGTGTCCCTGCTCTGCCGCCCTGCCTGCTCCAGTCAGGCCTGCTGTGGCCTCTGCTCAGGCCAGAAGTCCAGCTGCTGATGGATCTGTCTGTTCCCTGCTCATGTTCTCCTCCCAATTTCTCTCAGCTGCTGATGTGGAATCTCCCCAGGACAGAGGCCCAACTTGTTCTCTACCCTGACCTGACCTCTTGCCTCCCAGGAACTCCACCTGGGTCACTGTCCCTCTTTCCTTCCCTCAGCTCTGGTCACTTGTCTTGGCATTAGCCCTTCAGAACACCAATAAACTTTTCTAACTCCCTGGATCTCCTCTCATGCTGTGAGAAATGTGGTTTAAGTCAATGTCAGTCTCTGCAGGCTATGATTGTCCTGGGGGGGGGGATGACCCTGCAATAGTGAGAGACGTTGGTCACCTGCCCTAGGGGTGGCCAGTGGAGCTCAGTGTCCGGTTTTGTATAAAGCAGAAGAAAGATGCTGCCATGACGATCCCCCATATCTGGAAAGGGTGTGCAAGCATCCACAGAGGACTCCCACTGTCCAGCGGTTGATGGTCTCAGACACATGCACAGAGAAGGCTAAGAGAAGCAGCTGCTGGGCAAGGGGTCCCCAGGAAATAGACAGTAGAATTCATAGCCTGGGCAACAGCAGGGCACAAAACCTGTCTTTAGCACCTGGAGTACTGCCCTGAGGGGAATGCCTCTGAAGGGAGCCAGAGAGGCAACCTGACCTAATTTACCATCAGAATACCAACCTAACTAGGTCCCAAGTGACCAGTCTGCCGACACCTGGCCCATCCAAACAGAGCTTGAATGAGCACAGAAACATCCAGCTAAAGAGCCATTCAGTTTAGTAAACTCCCAAGGTGGGAAAAGGCGGCCAATAGATCAATCAATGGGTGGGGATTCACTAACCTCATCTATCCCACACAGCCAAGACATTAGAGGGAGATGGAGCAACTGAGCAAAGACAGGAGGATGTTTAAAGAAAGAGAACCAGAGAGGGACAGCTCAGAGGAGCGCAGTGTGGAAGAAGGATGCTGATATGTTGGGGGTGGGGTTCGCAGTCGCAGGGGCTGTGATAAAGTCAATATGCCATGGGCTTGGCTCAGGTACTGTTCACAGTGACCTGCACAGGAGGAAAGGAACAAGTTGGAGTAGCAGGCAGAAGTCCTGTCCTGCGGGGCCGAGCTCAGGGACCTGGCTTTGTCACCAGCTTCTCTCTTGATATCAGACATGCTAAGGACTTTGGACACATCCCCATCACTGCAGGGTCTTACAGAATGCTTTGCTGTCCTGAGTGTCCTCTGGTGTCCTGTGGAGTCTCGCTGTAGCACCTGCACTACGGGACAGTGTGCAAGCCGGGAAAGAGGCTGGAGATTTAAACACATACACACACAGACAGACGGGAACATGGGTCATCCTTGAAACAAGTATGCCCCCTTTATTGTGTTCAGGGGCAGCTTCTATAGGGATCCTTAACTGATAGCCACACCCCAGTCAAACCCACCAGAAACCACTCCCTTGCCATCAGGAACTCCTGAGGGTCTCGTGCTCAGAGCAGCTGCAAACACAGAAAAACAAGTTGCTTGTTTCTGCAAACACAGAAAAACAAAGTTTGCAGCTGCAAGCATAACAAGTTGTTTACAGGAAATTCAGGGTCTGGGGATCCACAGCCCCCAACATCTCCCTGCCTACCAACCCCCAATAAACCCTTCACAGCCTTTTCTCCCTCACTTAGAACCATGATCAGAAGGACTCTGTGCCCCTCCAGGTCCCACTACATTCCGCCACATCCTCCATGGAACTACATTCCCCCTCATCTTCCATGTCCCTCCATGCCCCGCCACAGTCCTTTTCCTCTAGTGCTGAACATCACTCCCTTCTCTGGAGGCAGAGTCTCTCCTTGACAGGGTTTCTTTCCCCTTCCCTACAGGGTCTCTCCCTCCCAGCAGAAGCTCGGTATGGCTCTGTGGAGCTTTTGGCACTGCAACTAAGGTGGCGGTGTGCATCCATCAGAGATCTCTGTGAAGATGTGACCATTCTGCTTCTTTTAATAAATACCAGAGAGAGGGAATGCTCAGTGGTTGGAGGTGTGTTTGATTTTGTAAGAGACCACTGTCCCTCCTTCCTCCCCAGCATCTCTTGTGGATATTTTGAATGTGGGGCATGTGGGGCATTCTTACAAGTATACAGATTTAGTTTCTCATTCATATTCTCTCTCTCTCTCTCTCTCTCTCTCTCTCTCTCTCTTGCTTTTCTACATAGCACAAATTGTCCTCAAACTCATGATCCTCCTCCTGAAGAGCTGAGATCACAGATACACCCCACCCTGTCTGTGACTTCTGGTTTCCGAGTTTACACCATGGACATCATTTGGCATCTGGGTGTCTTCTTCGACAAGGGATCCATCCAGCTCTCTTGCCAGTTTTTGAGTTAGGTTGATTGACTGCTGATTTTAAGGGTCCTCTGCAATGTGCATGGCGGCCTCTGTCTGATATGGGGAACAACCACCCTCACCCCTTTCCCCCACCCCCGTCCAGCCCTGGTGTCCCTTCTGTGAGTTGCTTTTCAGATGGTGACAAATCCCTGATGGAAACAACTGGAGGAAAGAAGGGCTTCACTTTAGCTCAGGGTTTGAGGACACAGTCTGTCATGACAGGGAAATCAGAGTGACAGGGTATGAGGAGGCGCCCCGAGTCCTCAGTCAGGAAATGGAGAGCAATGCTTGTAGGTGCTCAGGTCACTTCCTCTTTGATATTTAGTCAAAGATTCCAGCCTGCGAGATAGCACCCCCACATCCATGGTGGCTCTTTCCCCCTTGGTTAATCTGTAGCAACAGAAACGTCACTAAGATACAGTGACACTCCCAAAACTAGGAGTAAAGTAACCTTTCCTCTTTAAAGGTGAATTGCCTCTGGCATTCTGATACAGTAATAGAAGCTGCTTAACACTGTGGCTAAATGGGTTTAATCTCTGGAATTAAACATTGGTTTAATCTTTGAAAAATCAACTAACATAACATATTGTATTGATATAATAATGTTGACAGAGGTTTCTGTCCCATCCAGTACCACAGCAGTTCAGACCCAATTAAACACTCAGAGGTCTCTGTTAGTTATAAACTGGTTGGCCTAGTAGCTCAGGCTTCTTATTAACTAATTCTTGCATCCTACATCTTAACCCATTATTCTTGTCTGTGTCACATGACTTGGTACCTTTCTCATTTGCTTCTTCTCAGTCTGGATGACGACTTCAGACTGACTCTTTCCTCTTCCCAGAATTCTCCTGTTCTCGTGGCCCAGCCTCTACTTCCTGCTTGGTTGCTCCACCTATACTTCCTGCCTGGCTACTGGCAAACCAGCATTTTATTAAACAAGTACAAGTACAAGAAACAAATCTTTACAGGTAAAACCATTGTCCCACACATAATAAAGGCAAATATCACACCACCCTATCAATATGTGCAGAAAAGGAGCTGGGATGGCCCAACGTTCTTTCACAATAAAAGCCCCCTACAAGCCCAGGTGAGGGGACTTCTTTACTCTGATGTCTGTTAGGAAGCCACAGCTGATGTCACCATGTGACATATCTTCTCCCTGACCTCTAGCAAGGCACAGGCCGATCAATGCCAATCACCAACTGGGAGATGGATGTCCTCACATTCAAGCTAAGCCCTTGAGTTGCCAAACAGATGCTTTGAAAACTGTGAAACTCAGGTGACAACCTTCTCAGTACGTCAGGAAGGGGTGCCCCGTTCATCTGGAGACTTTCCCAGTTCCTAGCAGAATCAGAGTGAGCATCATTGAAGAAATCTGCAAGTTGGTTTAAAAATTAATATGTAATTGCAAGAACCCATCATCAGCACAAGGGGAAAAGAACAAATATGGACAACTAGCACTTTCTAGCAAAAATTTCCCACAAAGCAGCAATGAGCCTTTCCTTTAGTCCTGACCTATAAATAACAAAGATCACTTGTCCTTGCCCAGGCCACTGCCCCAGCTATGTGCTCAGTAAACCTCTGAGAGGGGGAGGGGAGAGAGAAGAAGGAGTAGCGGGGAGAGGGAGAGAATGAGTGAGTCTATCTGACCTTTAGGAAACACCTACAGGCAGAGTGTCTGCGCTCCCCAGTAGGAAGCAGATTTCTCAGATCAGCGTGGGGAGCAGAATGTATAAGAGACTGGTTGATGAGTTGGGCCTGCAGGTACTAAACGCTCATCTTTAAACCATCAAGCATGAGCTGGGCATGGTGAGGCACACCTGAAATCCCGCTACTTAGGAGACAGGAGGACCAGGAGTTCCAAGCCATCCTCAACTAAACAGTGAATTCTGGCTAGCCTAGGCTATATGAGACCTTGCCTCAAAAGAAAGAAGTTTAAAAAGAGGATCAAATGTGAAAACACATTTTACCAAGATGCCCAGGCAGGAGAGAAGCAGGTGAGAGTCTCGGTGGGAAATGCCAAGCACAGTAGAGGAGCCCTACAGCCTGTTAGAGCCACTGAGGTTAAGAAGCCCAGCGTGGGGAGCACATTCGCCCATACTGTGTGTAGGATGCTCTGCAGACACAAGGCAGCGGGGCAGATGGTTCCCTTAAACACACTGAACACAACGCCAGCCATCAGAGAGTGCATCCCAGCACAAATACAGAGAACCAAGAGTACAGCCTGGTCACACTGCTGCAGAATGCAAATGGCTTGCCTCTCAGGGATGGTGCAGCCTGGGGATAAACATTTACCCACCGTGTGACCCAAGAAGCGTACACAGAGATTTACTCCAGAGGAAAGAAAACACATCATCATAGAAAACACCAAGCACAAACAACAGTGACTACCACCTTTTTCCTATCTGTAGTAAACAGGGGACCGTCAAAACATCTACCAGCTACACTGTGGGAAATCAATGCAATGCAATTACAGAGCTGTAGAAAGTCATAAACTTGGTGTGAATAGTTGGTTGAATTTTGAGGTCAGAAAATTGTAAACCACAAAGACTGGCTTAAATGGAGGGGAGGGAAGGGGAGTGGGTCTTATGGCTGACAGCTCAGTGGGTCCAGGGAGGTAGGCTAGCTGCCCCGGCAGAGTTAGAAGCTTCAACTGGTTTCAAGTGTCCTTTTGCTGTCCCTGGCTTTAGCTCTTCTTTCTGCAGGCAGGAGCTCTCTAAGCCTCTTACTAAAGCTCAACTCACTCCTGTCCTCTGGTGTCATGCACCCCCAGTCACCCCAAAGCAGCAGCAGGGCAGGAAGACTCCATCTTGGTGTGTCCATCCTACTAGGCTCAGGTTGGGTGCTGGGCTGTCTGAAAGCTCCCGAGGTGTCACCATGCATGGGAACCTGCATAGACAGGTTCCCAGTCTATGTGGACACACAGCACACGGTGACATTTCACTTGCAGAGGGGCCCAGTCCCTGCCTCACAGCTCCCATTCTCTGTTGCTGTTCTGAAAAGCCTGTGTTCTAGAAGAATCCATCTCCCTCTAGTTTTCCCTCACCGTCTCATTCTCTGCAGGCCCGTACCACGTTGAGACACTCGGAATAGTCTTCCCCAGGGTTCAGGGACACTTCCCTGCCAGGTGTGTGTAGCCAGTAGGTTTTATGACCCTACCCACCTACCTGGGCTGGAACTCCGAACTCCTCACTGCCTAGTGGGGCAGCCTGGATGATGAGGCATGTGGTGTGTGCAAAAAGTCAGGCCCAGCTTGGACAAGACTCCACTCGGAGGACCAAGCACACAGCACCCTCAGCCCTAGCCAGGACCACGTGGGACTCAGGAGGAGTGACTCTCCTGTAAACAAACAGATTAACTAGGGGTTTTCAGGACGCAGCTTAAAATACCCATGAGGAAGGAAGGTTCTAGAGGCTTCTGGCTGACAACATACCCTGGTATAAAAGCTGACAGCATAGCACACAACATACACACTCTCACACACACTCTTACGCACACTCTCAAGCAACACCTCCCAACTCCAGTCAACCCCACCATGGCCGCCTCCACCATGTCCGTCTGCTCTGACGCTTGCACCAACTCCTCCTGGCAGGTGGATGACTGCCCAGAGAGCTGCTGTGAGCCCAGCTGCTGTGCCCCCAGCTGCTGCCAGACCAGCTGCTGTGCCCCCAGCTGCTGTGTCCCCAGCTGCTGTGTCCCAGCCCCCTGCCTGACCCTCATCTGCACCCCAGTGAGCTGTGGGTCTAGCCCCTGCTGTCAATCTGCCTGCAGCAGCTGCTGCACACCCTCATGCTGCCAGCAGTCTAGCTGCCAGCCCTCATGCTGCACCTCTTCACCTTGTTGTGTGACCCTGTGTTGCAAGCCTGTCTGTTGTACACCCATCTGCTCTGGATCCTCCTGCTGCTGCCAACAGTCTAGCTGCCAGCCCTCATGCTGTCAATCCTCCTGCTGTGTGCCTGTCTGTTGTAAGCCTGTCTGCTGTACCCCAATCTGCTCTGGATCCTCCTGCTGCCAGCAGTCTAGCTGCCAGCCCTCATGCTGCCAGCCATCCTGCTGTGTGCCTGTCTGCTGCAAGCCTGTCTGCTGCAAGCCCTGCTCCAGTGTGTCCCTGCTCTGCCGCCCTGTGTGCAAACCTGCCTGCTGTGTGCCCAGTTCCTCCTGCTGTGCCTCCTCCTGCCAGCCCAGCTGCTGCAAGCCCTGCTCCAGCATGTCCCTGCTCTGCCGCCCTGTCTGCTCCAGTCAGGCCTGCTGTGGCCTCTCCTCGGGCCAGAAATCCAGCTGCTGATGGACCTGTTCCTGGTTCCAGCTGACTCAGGTCCCTTCCTGTGGCCCCTCCCAGCTTTCTCAGCCTGATCCTCGCCTGGGATAGCCAATCCCCCAGGATGAAGCCCCCAACCTGTCCTTTGTGACTTGACCTTCCCAGGAGGCCTGCTGATCCTCCGTGTCACTGGCCCCCCTGCCCCAGTCCCTCTGCTCTGGTTACCTGCCCCTGACATCAGCTTGTCAGCAGCCCATGGCTTCAATAAATTGTTCTACCCACCTGGATCTGCTCTTATTCTCTGGAACATGTGGTTCAAGTAAATATCCATCTCCGTAGCCAGAAATGTTTTTAGGAGGGACAGTAGCCACCTCCCCTGGTGGTCACCAGTTTGAATGAAGAATGTCCCAAATAGGCACATTTGTTTGAAGACGCGATCTCTGGTGCGAGGTTCTGTTTGGGGAGTTGCGAAACTTTTAGAGACTTGCTTGAGGATGTAAGCCATGGGGGCGGGTTTTGTGGGCTGATGGCCTTGCCCACTGTGCGTCCACGCTTTCTGTTTTCTGCTCGTGGTTAGAGATGAGCTCTCTGGCATCCTGCTCCACTCACCTACTGCCATTTACCTCCCACCTTTACGGACGCTCCGTCTGGAACCCTAAGCTAAAATGAACTCTTTCTTTCATAAGTCATGGTGCTTAGTCATAGCTACAAAATAACGAATACAAAATGGGCAGGCTGAGCACTTGACAGCTCAAGCCAGCGTGAGCCTGGTGTGTGTGATGGGGGACATTAAGGTGCTCTGTCCTTATACCTCCCCATTGTCACTGTCCCTAGCTCCCTCTGTTCTGTGACTGTTCTGTGACTCCCGATCCCCTGGGCATCGTTGGGAGGGTTTTGTTCTCTGTCACCTGTCAGCTCCCAAGCTCCACACCATTTCCTGGAAGTCTCCAGGAAACAGACTTCTCCCCACTGTGAGAGTCACAGGAGCAGAAAGAGCCCCTGTTCCCAAAGGAATCCGAGCAAGTGTCCCATACTGTGACCAAGGCATACTGCGCGTTGAGCCAACTCTGAAGGCCACACAGGCCCTCCCCCTCTTTAGAATAGGTGCACGGGACTGGCACACAGGTTCACATGGGCAGAGCCTTGCTAAGGAAGATAGTAAGTGTGCACACATCGGCATGCACACACTCAGCTGTTGGCAGAGCTAACTTACTGGTTGGCTGGTCAGACTGCCTGTGTTTGGCTAAGGACGGTTTGGTGAGGTGTGTGGACAGAGATAGCCCGTAGCACTCTGCTTCGCTGACTGTAATAAAACACGCATATCACAGAACTCTCTGCGTTCTTTGTGAGCGCATCCCAGCTGTGCTGAGTCCAGGCACGTGCTACCTAGCAAATCTCGGCTAGCCTGTGAGCTCCTGGCGGCTTGCTCCACACCCCTCCACACCCCTCCCCCAAATCCCTGGCACCCTTGTTGTGTTCGCAGGAATCTGAGCCTTTGGGGAGCTAAGCAGATTGGTGCAACACCTGTCCTTCTGGCCTGGTTTGTTTTCCTCAGTGTGGGGTCCTCCCGGCTCCTTCATGATGGAGCAGGTCAGGACCTATTTCTCTTGACAGGCTGAAAACATTCTGTTGTACACAGGGACTAGGCTCTTTGTCCTGAGCTGGCTGGGGGGCTGGGGTGGGGAGGCACACTGAATTCCCACCCAGAAAGTGCTACCGGGTAGGGTGCCATCAGCTCCTCCCACTCCCTGACTAGCCCTACCTCCTCCTCTCAGTCCCGTTCTCTTGCTATCCCCACCTTCTCTCCCCACCCCCTCCCAGGCCCTGCTCTCCTCTCCCCTCCATTCCCAACTGTTTCACCCCGCTGGCCTTGGTCCTTCCCTCCTCCCTTTCCTTCAGCTCTGCCCCACCTCTGGCCCTGGTCTCCACAGAAGAATGAATACGTGCTCTCCCTGCTGGCGGAGGAGAGGGACACACTGCTGCTCGGCCTGAGGTACTCACCCACACAGCTGCACTTCCTATTTCTCACCGAGGACTTGGCTGGTGCCTGGCAGACTCGTGTGTCCTTCCAGAGCCCCGGCCTCGTGGACAGCCAGTGGCACACGCTGATCTTGGCTGTGTCCCAAGGATCCTTTTCCCTCACCATGGACTGTGGCCTCCCGATGGACATGTAGGTACCAGGATGTGCATCCCAGAGATTAACCATGCTGTGTGTCATCTGAGCAACCTGTTGCAGTGACTATTCTGCCACTGCGCTGTGAGGGTGGGTCCTGGGCAAATTCACCCCTGCCCCTGCCTGTCAAATCCTTTACTTGAGGCAGGCTATGGAGAATGCCTTAGGTGCATTATGGAATGCCTTAGAGCCTTATGAAAGACAGGCTTCCATTATGAGGCCAGGGGTCATGGAGCAGTTACACAGCTCTGTGAAATGGAGGTGCCCAATCAGGGGCCAGAAATCACCTACTTGGAGCAACTGCGGCCAAGGAAGATCCAAGGGCCTTGGGTTGAGAATGCAGCTCCAAGGCTGTAGGCTGGGCTCAGAAGCTAGGATGCCTAGCCACAGAGCAGAGGTGGGCTGTGGGTGGAGGAGTGACTGCCTGGTACCCCTGGTCTGGAGCTTGGTGCACTGTAGCAGATGGTTAAGGCTGGAGGAAGCAGGAGCTATAGGAGAGGACAGCATGCCATGGCAACACTGCCACATGTCCCTCCCTTGGCCTGCTATCTTTCATGTCTTCCTCAGTGAGTTCAACCTTCGTAGCAATCACAACCCTCACTTTCCAGAGGTTCCTGGGTCTCTAGCAAAGTGCCTCCCTCCTACCTGTAGCCATCATCTCCCGGGCTGTATGAAAGCACACAATGGTTATATGGGTCAGGGTCCTGATGCAGGGAAGGTCCTGGAGGTTCACCAGGAGGTAGCAAAAAGGTTTTATATTTCGCTATGCATTCCTTTAAGGGCCTCAGTCCTGGGATGCCCCAACTCATCTCCACTGGGGACTATGAATGTGCCTTTACCTGCCAACTGGGTCTTAAACCAAGTCAAGATGATGTCAGCTGAGTGAGACAGCTCCTGATGAGGTGGCAGAGACCACAGAGGCAGGGAAAAGGGTGCAAGCATGTTCAGATGCAATGGGAGGGGAGATGGAGGTAGAGAGATGCAGCCACAGCTGGGAAATCTGGGGCCACTAGAGCCAGACGGGCAAGGTGTCCTCCTTTGTCTCAGAGAGGGCACTGCTCTGCAGGCCTAGGACCTCTAATTGCTATGAAGCCTGTCATTACAGCTGCCCTAGGATGCTCGCCTGTTTCTCATGTGAGACCCAACCCCTGTCTTTATAAGCAAATGGGTTGTATGCCCTTCCTCTTCTATGGTACTAGTACTGTCTACTCATGTTTCAGAATGGCTGACGTTCCCTTTCCACCCACCCTATCAGTAAGAGGAGCCCGGTTCTTCATTGGCAGCCGGAAGAGAACCAAAGGACTGTTCACAGTGAGTGTGGAGGAACTGCCAGCTGCAGCCCTCCCTAAGGGCTGTGGGGACAGCCTGTCACATGCTTTAGATGGTAGATTGCCATCAATGTTAAGTGAGAACCAGAAACACTATCACAGAACCCTCATACTGGCTCTTCCTATTTTCTCACACACTCTTTTCTGAGACTCTTGGATCCCTGCTCACAAGTCCTCCTACCATGGAAGCCTGACCCCAACATGCTCATAAACTGATGCTTGAACCCAGTCTTTCTGGCCTTGATGTATGTCAGTACCCCCATCCATCCACATATCCATCCATCCATCCATCCATCCATCCATCCATCCACATATCCATCCACTCACTCACCCACACATTCTTCCCCTACATACCCAACAATACATCTACTCTGTCCGTTCACCCACCCACATCCACTCAGCCTTCTATTCATCCACACCATTCACTCATTCTTCTTCTCATCTACCCACCCATCCACTGACCCACCCACACATCCATCCACTCATTCATCCTCTCTTCTGTTCACCTACCCATACATCTACTCACACACCCATCCACCTATCTGTTCGTTCACCCACACATCCATCACCTGTGGTGTACTCACTGCTGGGATGGTATCTGGAATCTACTCCACAACCAGGAGCTACAATTCTCTGTGGTGTCCTTGGCATCTGCAACCATACCTGGCACATAGTAATCACTCTGTGGAAATGTGCTTGTGTTATGATTGAATGGGCAAATGGAAGGACAGATAGGTGGATAGTTGCATGCATGGGTTGGTGGGTGATGATGGATAAATGGATGCGTGTATGCATGCATGCATGGGTGAATATTGGATAGGTGGGTAGATGCATATATGCATGCATGGGTTGATGCCTGGGTGGCTGGGCAGAAGGATGATTGCTAAGTGGGTGGGTGGGTAGGTGGATGAATGAATGAATAAATGGGTGAAGGGATGGGTGGGTGGGTGGATGGATAAATGGATGTATGGAGGGATGGAGGGATGGATGTATGGAGGGATGGAGGGATGGATGGGTGGGTGGGGGGATAAATGGGTGGGTAGATATTTAAGGGAGGAATGGAAAAGTAGTTGGGTGAGATAGAAAAGGAATGTGGCCTGGTCACTCTAGTTCCATGTGGACAGTCCCTTCTTCACTGAGAACAATGAACAATTGTCTGCCATCACTCCTGATCCACATGCAGACCCATTCCCACACTGCAGGTTAGACCCACTGGGCCATATGGGCCAAGGTCCCCAACAGCTGCAGGTATCAGTGGAACCTCACTTTCTCCTTCTGCAGGGCCTGATAAGGCAACTGGTTCTGCTGCCTGGCTCAGATGCCACCCCAAGGCTATGTCCCAGCAGGAACGCCAGGCTGGCTGAGCTGTCCATCCCCCGGGTGCTGAAGAGGCTCACAGAGAAGCCTGATGCTAACGATGTGCTGAAATATCCCTATGGTTAGTAGGCGGGGCTTGTTTCCCACCCTGGCTCCATCTGAGAGCACAGGCTCCTTTCTCAGCCTCTCCAGTGTGCATCTCTCAGTGACAGAAGGGCAGGTGTCACAGTGTCCAGGAGGATACACAGGGCCGTCAGAAAGGCCAGAACCACTAACCTATCCCTCCCTTGAAGGACTCTGCTTGGACAGCCTACAGGAAAACCATGCACCTTTCTTGGTCCCCTGGACAGGTGGTAGATATGGCTTACATCAGGAAGGCTCCCTGGCCAACAACTGCCCATATCTCCCAGCCACTCCGTCCAGCTTATCCTAAACTCAGCCCAGCCCACACCAAGACCTAGCTCTATTTCCCATCAGCCCTTTCAGCCCATGGCATCTCCTAGATGTGCTTTCTCTGGTTCCTATCTGCCCTGTCCTAGTGTTGGGTTGCAGTATTGAGCCATTTATTAAAATCACACCCCTGCAGTACAGAATCTGAGAGTCCCTCCCCAACTGTCCATATAC